CCGTGAAACAGTAAATCACAACAAAATGAACTCTGAAAATGTTGAAACTTGGCATGGTATCATTATTTCACCCGCATAGCAAGTCCGGAAGAGTAGAGAGGGTCACAGCAAAAACTGGACGCACTTCGTGTACAAACTGGACAATCTCTTTCGGAGTATCAGGGTTTCTGACGAGAACTCATTTGTTACACGGGCACTTCATTTTTTTAACTTATTTGAACTCCAGACTTTTTTTGAGCCAGCATTATGCAGCATTTGAAGCGTCGTCATCAATTTCCAACATGTTTTGACATCAGTTGTTGTTTTTTAGTCATTTACCAATTTGTTTAGAGAGCTAAATGACCGTGAAACAGTAAATCACAACAAAATGAACTCTGAAAATGTTGAAACTTGGCATGGTATTATCATTTCACCCGCATAGCATGTACGAAAGAGTAGAGAAGGTCATGGCAAAAACTGGACGCACTTCGTATACAAACTTCGGAGTATCAAGGTTTCGGACGAGAACTCATCTGTTACACGGGCACGATATTTTTTTAACTTATTTGAACTTCAGACTTTTTTTGAGCCGGCATTATGCAACATTCGAAGCGACGTCATCAATTTGTTTAGAGAGCTAAATGACCGTGAAATTGAAAAATCACTCCAAAATAAAGCATTATGCAGCATTCGAAGCAACTAAAGCAAAAATATTCACAAAGAAACTAAATACAGCAAAAAAAACTACTCAGAAATAAATAGAAGAAAAAAATAAAGCAGAAAAGAAAAAACTATATAAAAAATTACTCAAAAATAAATAGAAGAAAAAAAATATAGAAAAGAAAAAACTATATAAAGCAAAAATATTCACAAAGAAACTAAATACAACAAAAAAACTACTCAGAAATAAATAGAAGAAAAAATAAAGCAGAAAAGAAAAAACTGTATAAAAAATTTACTCAAAAATAAATAGAAGAAAATAAATAATGCAGAAAAGAAAAAAACTATATAAAAAATAGTTGGGGCGCTGTCCGGTGGGCCTGCCAGACCAAGGGTGTGCAAATTCAAGCCAGAAGGGCCGGCAGGCTCACAGGGCAGCGCGCCCTGGTTAGGCCCAGAAGCCTGCTATATAGAGGAGTTCGAAAGAGCAGCCGCGGCTAGGTTTATAAACCAGTGCGGCTGCCCTTCGCTCGGCGAGGTGGGACTAAACATAGTGCACCGCGGGTGGCAGCGCACGACCAATAGTACTGGTTGGTGGCTCCAACCGGTACTAATGGGTTGTCCTTTAGTACCGGTTGGGGTAATGAACCGGTACTAAAGGCCCTCGTTTCCCACCGCTTGGCCTGGCCAAAATTGGCCTTTAGTACCGGTTGGTGGCTGCAACCGGTACTAAAGGCTCCTCCTATATATATGGCACTTACGAAAAATCAGTTCCATCGACCACTTCTTCTCCACTTCTCGCGCGACATCACCGCCGCCGTCGCGCCGTCGCCCCCGCCCCCGCCGCGCGTCGTCGCCCCTGCCGCCCGTTGTTGCCGTCCCCGTCGTCGTCGTCTCATGCCGACGCCCCGTACTACGTACGTCGCCGTCTCGATCGCGCCGTCGATCACCCCCGGCCCGCCGCCCGTCGTCGCGCCGTCCCCGTCGCCGCCCGTACGCCGCCACACCCCGGCCTGCTCGTACCCACACACACACACACATACACACACACACACACATACACACACACACACACACATGCACATGTACACAGGCATGTACACACGCATAACACACACACAGTACTACACACACATATTTTTTAACTTATTTTCTGTTTTCTATTGTTTAGATTAATGTTAGATGAATTTCGTAGATACGAATGTTAGAATGTTAATGTTAGATGAATTAGATAGAAAAGTTGTTAAATATTAATGTCAATTGTTAGCTAGATGAATATAGAACTAGTTTATTTTTAGTAAATGCTTAGTTGAACTAGTTGAATTAATAGAACTAGTTTAATTTTAGTAAGAAAATTTAGGTATATATAAGTTATTTGAACTAGTTGAATTAATATAACTAGTTTATTTTTAGTAAATGCTTAGTTGAACTAGTTGAATTAATAGAACTAGTTTATTCTTAGTAAGAAAATTTAGGTATATGAGATTATTTGAACTAGTTGAATTAATATAATTAGTTTATTTTTAGTAAATGTTTAGTTAAACTAGTTGAATTAATAGAACTAGTTTATTTTTAGTAAGAAAATTTAGGTATATGAGATTTGATGATCTAATTAAAATTTAGGTATATGAGATTTTAATAGAACTAGTTTATTTTAGTAAGAAAATTAATAAACAAGTTTATTTTTAGTAAATGCTTAGTTAAATTGATTGAATTAACAGAATTAGTTGAATTAATAGAAGTAGTTGAATTAATAGAATTAGTAAGTGTTTAATGTTTCACCTATATGAACATAGGAAATGTCGTCTGACGACGAAAAAGATTTCATTATGTGCGAATACTGTGAAGATCAGCGCGGTCTGTGCGACAAAAATTTCTTTGTTGATGATAGACGATTCAGCATCAAGCTGGATGAGACCTTCGAATTTGATACAGTAAGTCACAACGACAAGTCTTTTTTCATAATTAAGCATGACTTATATATGCTTCATTTGCTTCAACTTATAATTTTTAATTTTCACTATTCTACTAGCGCATCCCCTGCCATGCAAGAATTTTTGTCTTGGATAAGATAGATTTCAATGCTATAGAAACTATGGAGGTAAAGAGAGTTTACCTGAAAACTAAGCATGGTTATACTTTCAACGTCAAAGTATACAATGCAGACACGTACACCTATTTTGAATGCAAAACTTGGCAAGCACTATGCAAACCTTATGCATTTGAGCCTGATATGGTTATCACCTTTGATATTCGTTTGAAAGATGATATTGAAGGTAATAGAGACATCTGGGTCGATGTGCAGACGCCTCCAGTTCTACCATTATGTGAGTTCTTCTCAACCATATTTATGTCTTGATATTGTTTATTCAAAAATAGTTGATAACTAATTTCTATTGACAGCTTATTTCCATTCAAGCAAACATGTCTGGCGCTTGGTAGACAGGACCTACTACTGTCCCGGAGCTGAACTAAACTGCGAGGAGATAAGTCATTATGTTTCATGGCTTGAGGATCTTCATATTGTCAAGACAAATTTTCTTCCTGCACTTAGAAATGTTAGTACTCAAAACGTGCGACCAATAGTGATCGTACTGAACTACGGTCACATCTATTTAGGAATGATGGTAAGATTTTTACTATTTGTCCTCAGTGCATCTTTTGCATACATAATTTTTTTGCTAAATTTTCATTGCTAAGTATATTAATTACTATATGATGTTCTTCAACAGAGACTCTCAATGATAGTTGTGCCTCAGTGGATCGAGACTAAAGGTTGCATGTCAATTGTTAGCTTACGGCCAAGATATCCTGCATTGCACATGAGTGCATTCAGGATTTCTAGAAGCAATGAATGCTTAACAGTGAAAGATTGGAGGAAAATTGTTAACGATCGCAGAGAAGTACTAGGGGGCGGCAATGAGAAGCGCAACCCACGATTAGGAGACAGGTTCATCTGCATGCTCCAGTATGATGAATCAGGAGAGCTATACATGTTCTATGCTATTTTACCTGAGAGAGAGAGAGCAGCATGAGTGATTTAGCTAGTTCATGCTCTTAGTACTTGTCCTCTCATATCCGTGTTCTTTGTCCTGAACTTAATCTCAAAGAGTGATTTGCTTTTGTGGTGTTATGAACGCTTATAATATCATGACCATCATGTTGAGCTCGATGATATTTTTGCTTCTGGTACAAGTGAATGTTTCTTCTTTAAGCTAGTGTTGGTGGTGATTAGATAGCGGTAATGACTATAATGATTAAATAGTGATAATGACGACTATGATGATTTTTTGCTAGCTACTATACTGATGTTGATGATATGATGAAAGAGTCTTTATATCAATATGATGATGATGATGATGAGTTATTATATCATTTAATAAAAGAAACCGCAGATTAGTTTCAGCTGGATGGATCCTAGCTAAGTGATGAAGTATATGTCATATCCATATTATACTTGATCACAATTAGGTGATCAAGTATAATATGGATCTGGCATATACTTGATCACTTAGCTATAGCTAGGATCCACATGCATCCAGTCGGAACTAATCTACGGTACTTTCACCTAATGATTTAACAACTCATTATAATGTAAAACAATCACTAAATTAAATTGAAAACACAAAATTAAAGGTAAAAAAACAAAACACACCCAAACATTTAGTACCGGTTGGTGTTATGAACCGGTACAAAAGCCCTACACGCATCCGGGCCTGGCTCATGCCACGTGGTGTCACTTTAGCGTCGGTTCGTGACGAACCGGTACTAAGGGGGGACCTTTAGTTCCCACTCTCGAACCGGCACTAAAGGCCGTTACGAACCGGCGCTAAAGCCCGATTCTGCACTAGTGAACGTGCATCTAACATGGATTTGTTTAAGCATGAACTAGCTATCGCCATAGCCCCTAGTTTGTGAAGTAATCATGTTTCATGTCTTTAGATGTGTGATCACTTTGATTTCCAAACTTATATGCAAATGAAGCTTTTGTTGTATGACACGTGACAAAACTAGTTTTTCTTCTAAATTATAACTTGTGTTAACTGCGAGAATTTGTGATCTTTTTCTAAAACAAATGCCGCATATTTGGCGCTCCATTTACCATAAAAAAAGCTCTCTGTACAGTAAAAAATGCTGCATAGAAAAAAAACTTTGCAATTTTTTTTGAAAAAAAAACTGTGCATGCTTTGAACCCAAACTAACACCAGGTCCTGCAGCCCAGCACATTATTGTGCTCCATTTCGGCCTCTTTAGAGCCAGGAGCCGAAGTGGGCTGCCTCCAGCCAGCCCAAAGGGGCGCCGAAGTTGCGTGAAGTCTGCTCAGTGTCACTCCTCGGGACATCTCTCGTGCGCCCTAGACCATGGCGGCGGCGGCGGCGGCGGCGACGACGATTTCTGTAGCCAAGAGGGCACCGGATCTGCCGGAAGTCGATCTGATTAGCTCTCTCCCCGGTGAGATCCTCAGCATAATCATATCCCTCCTCCCCATTGACTCCGCCGTGCGCGCCACATCCCTCTCCCGCCGCTGGCGCCCCCTATGGCGCTCCTCCCCGCTCAACCTCGACGTCTCCCACATCGACGGGTGCGACAGCGACCGCGCCGCCGCCGTCTCCAAGATTCTCTCCGACCACCCGGGCCCCGCGCGCCGCTTCCTCACCGCCTGCCTCCACATCACCGACCCGGACGGCTGGCTCGGGTCCCCCGCCCTCCGAGATCTCCAGGAGATCGACCTCTGGCTCCCTCAGTACGATGTTCTGATGTCGCTGTCCATTCTCCGCTTCGCGACGACCCTGCGCGTGGCCAGCTTCGGCAACTGCAAGCTCTTTGTGGACGACGCGCCGCCGCCGTTTAGCTTCCCTTGCCTTGAGAAGCTCAGCATGGGATTCATTTCCGTACGGGCAGACACCCTCTCCCGCCTGCTCGCGGGCTGCCCTGTCCTCGAGAGCTTGCTGCTGGACAGGTGCCACGGCGTCTACTACCTGGTCATCAGTTCAGCAACTCTTAAGAGAATCGGCACAAAGGACGGTTGCCATGGCTGTCAACTAGTCATAGAGAATGCCCCCAGACTGGAAAGATTGATCAGAACTAATCCTCATCCAGACTCAACCATCTGGCTAATCAAGGCACCGAAACTCGAGACCTTTGGCTTCATGACAGACGACTTTACTAAACTCAAGCTTGGGTCTGCAATTTCTGAGGTAGCCGTGGCCATCTAATCTAAGATTCAGTATTACGCGTCATATTAGTAGGCTTCTTTCTGATCCTGTTGTATGTTTATGCCTTCTCTGTTATTAGGGATTGGTTGCTGGCAACTTGAAAGCTCTGATGCGCAGCGTCAAGGTTTTGCATCTCACGTCTAGTGGCCCTAATCTTGATGCAGCCATAGTCTTCCTCAAAAAATTTCCTTGCTTGGAAAAGCTCTACATCACGGTGACTCTCTTCTTTCTTTGATAGTTTTTGGTGTTAAAAGTAGCTTCACGTCCATTTCATACATTTTTCCAGTGAGTAAAACCTTGTTTTAATTGTCAGGTGGGGGTCAGTTTTTCTATTGTGTAATTGTCTTATTATTTTGTTTCAGTCATGTCCTGGAAATGATATGGAGAATGTGCATCATCTTCAACCACAAGATCCTATTGAATGCCTCGATCATCTCAGAGAAGTAGAGTTGAAGTTTTATATTGGCAGCAGAACGGATGTCAACTTTGCCAAGTTCTTTCTCCTGAATGGTAAAGTGCTCGAGTTAATGAGGTTTGGTGTCAAGGACCAATATACTGAGGAATGGGTAGCTGATCAACACAGCCAGCTACATGTTGATAGCAGGCCTTCTCCAAATGCTCAACTTGAATTTACAGCTGCTGATGTTGGCAATCTTTTGACCATATTCTGTTCTTGACGGATCCCTCCAGTGGCCTTGTGGACATTGTGGACAAGGTTGACTAGATTGTTGTGCCCCGTCAGGTTTTGTGGCAATGTCTTGTCACTGTGCAAAACTGGAAACATGGTACTTTGTGACTTATGTGTAATGCTTTAGAGATTGTCATGCAACTATTTTACTACTTGTCATGTTATTGTGATGTGGCATGTCTTGGCATTCTAAATTGCGAATGATTGCAAGCTAGTTGTTCATTTTGATTCAGCAATTAATGTATGGCTTTTAGATCTTGCATTGTTTGGAGGAAAAAGACTATTTGGTTCTTCCAAAAAAATAACTAGCAAGTAAGCTTAATGAAGGACAGTTCTGTCTCATAGTCCTTTTCTGTGAGGAGCATAGCCTATGCTTTCAGTAACAAGGTGAAGGAGTAAAAGTTAACATAGTTTGCCAAAAATGATAGGATGTTTGTTCTTAAAATCCCTATTTGCTCCCTAGTGTTTTGGGATATCAAATTGACTGTTTGAGGGTACTGTAGCAATACTTGGCTCGTGATGCACAAAGGAAAGGCCTCATGAGATGAATGTTGGTTGATATATTTACTACTCCAGCTTACTTGCAAAGTTAATCTCCTTATTTTTATTTGAAGAAGTATTTGGCACACATATTATTGCATTTCTTCGTATTGGAGGTCCAAATGATCATAGCTTTGAAAAAGCTGGAAAATCTATATGTTCACTGATACTGCTTTGAATCTTTTGTGTCCTTCAAATCCTGTAGCAGAGCAACTGCATCTTGAATTCTTGATACTCATTACTCCTGGTCATACACGGGCAAAAATTATCAAATATTTCTAGTGTGGTAGTTTAAGGACACAGTTGATAATCGATACGTTGTCATACTGAAATCAAGAATTTTTCTACTTATGTAATATTCTGGAATGGATGGAGTAGGTATGATACATTATCCTTTTGCATTCTGACAGAACCAATTTCCTTTTAAACAACTGTAGAATCACCTTCTTGTAATTTCAGCGGCAGGTGCATCTAAAAATAATGTCTGTCACATGCACCAATACATATTAACGTGTCCACCCAGCTGAATTTTATTTGCATTTTTTTATGAAAACTTCAGGACTTCATTCATTCAGCAGACAGTAATGTTTCTGAAGAGGTTCTACACATTGGTCAATGCCGTAATCACCGGCGCAGTGAAGTGCGCCTATCTATTTGCTCGCTCATCCTAGAATGATGCTTCTTGCCCTAGAAGTTGCGCCCCTGATGCCCCTCCTCACGCTGTCCGCCACAAGCTGCGTCACTGGTATGGTAAGGCTTTATTTTGTGAACCAAGCCATTTTTATGCCTATGAGGTATATATAATTTGTTGTTGTTTTACTTCAAATGATCCATTTTTGTACTATCTCCGTTTTAGCATACCAAAAACGGCTTATATTTTGGGACGAAGTAATATTTAAGTACAGGTATTTTCTGTGTGTTAATTATGGAGTTATACATTGGCTGCCCGCTACGCGTGAGCAATGGGAGTGTTCATAGATGTTTTGGAGCCCGATCTCAAGTGCTCCCGCACGAATAATAAAAATAAACTGCATTTGAGGCATAATGAAGAAACACCTTAACTTAGTATTTTGATCAAAACATCATGAAAAATGATTAAGGCAATTTTTGTAAAAAATATATTCTTTAATATAATTTTATGGCACATTTAAGAAATGCCACAAAAACGCATTTGATTGAAAATTGTGTTCTAGTGAATGAACATGAAAGTGTCTTTGAATTGCATGTAAATTTGCAGAGAAAAGATTGAGTGGTGATCTCCGCAAAAACTAAAAAGATTGAGTGCTCGAAAACCCTTCTTTCAACACCGACTCTCTCTCTACAAAAAAGAAGTGAGGGGGTATATGAGAAGCAGCAGTAGAGGGAGGTTGGAGGCGCTGGCTACCGTGGCAAGGATGGAAGGTGTCATAGGTGAAACCCTAGCCTCTTATCACACGGGGAGAGAGTCGAGTGGGCAAAGTGAACCACTTTGCGGGGTAGGGTTTGGGGTCGGGTTGGCACATAGTGGCAAAGATAAATTATTCATAAATTGGATGACATTTCCGAATTCAAAGAAATAAAGTGAGAGGGGAGCTTCGTACTTTGAGGATGACTTATTCCGTTTTACTGAAAGGACAGGCTAATATTTGGCACTTCATGCACTTTAGAAATATCTGATTAATTACATCTAAACAGTACTCTTTAATTTCAGACATCTCATGTATTTGCTAGATCCATATACTCAAAAGGCACAATACCAAGTTCTATGGATATTTAATGATACATACACAAACACATTATAATACATCAAGAGACATAGTAAATTGGTGGAACAATGTGAAATTATTTGTTTGCTATTTGCTTTATGGTGATACCTACTCTAACAAAATATATTTTTCTTAAACAAGCCAAAAACATAAATAGTACCAACATTTTTTTAATAAAATAAAATTGTTGTGTAGCACAAGAAATGTATTTTTAGTGGTGAGAAAAAAATTATATGATAAATTTGTACTTAATAAAAATGAGCCTTTTTAATTACCAATGTTGTTAGTTCTAAAAAAATAAAATTATTTTTGTCTATATAGTTTATCAAATAATGCATCAATAAATACAACATATATTACTGACTGACTGGTTTATAATTAAATAATATAAGTTTAGTACAAATAGATAGATAAACATTATCTTAGCCCACTCATCTGCACACAAAATATTGGTGTGTCTCTGCATAGATTGTGCTATCTCGATAGAGACGGGCTACGTGGACAATACCGCTAACAAGCTCCTTGACACCATGAACGTCGGTTTCAATTTCATGTACGCTGACACCAACCACAACATCCTCACCAAGTATAGTAATAAGTTATTTATCCGTGATCTTGCTAATTGGCAGGGATTTGTCACACAACAATCTGAGGGCTCCATTCCCGATGCCCTTTCACAACTGTCATTGCTCACACTTCTGTAAGTAATTTGTAACATAATTTATAGAGGTTTTCAAAACTCATTCAGCACACAACATACTTAGTTTGACATCGGAAACTACTTTGTTTCCTTTCAGAGATTTAACAGGAAATCAGCTCAGTGGATCAAATCCTTCCGGACTTCTCAAAAGAACCCAATATGAGTCCCTTACACTTTGGTACCTGGTACATTCTAGTAGAAGAAATTTACAGTGAGGTTCCTCAGATCTCATGTGATCTTTTTCTTCAAAAAGCACCAAATATCTTACTTGATCAACGTTACCATTTACTTATCTCCTTTTCTATTGTCAGATATAGTAATAATACAAATCTCTGCAGTAACGCAACTCCTGCCAGTTTGAAAAAAATAAGAGCAACTCTATGGTTGCTGTCTATGTTGCACCTCCTATATTTTTGGACTGATGGTTGTGCTTCTGTTTGTACTAATTTGCATGCGAAGGAGAAATCAAGGTGAGAGGTCACTCCTAAACACATAACTTTGGACACATTAATGCAAGGTAAGGGTTAACTAACACTGTTTGTGTGGTCGGTCTTTCAACTCTGGAGGAATAACAAGCAATAGTGTAAGGCCGCAAAATGAGGAAATTAACAGCAATGGACACACCTCACTATGACTCGAGAATCGCCGATTCACGTACAGTGAATTAGAGGCTATCACGAATGGCTTCCAACGAGTGACCGGTCGAGGAGGGTTCGGGAAAGTCTATGATGGTTTCTTGGAGGATGGCACCCAAGTGACTGTCAAACTGCTGTCCGAATCTTCCAACCAAGGTTTAGAAGAATTCCTGGCAGAGGTGAGAACTGTCGAGATCTAGTAAAGTGAGTGTAATTAATACCGCTAGATCCAGTTTCATAGTGCATGTATTGTTTCGCGTTCAAGCTCAGACCTTGGCTAAGATTCACCACAAGAATCTAGTGTCCTTGTTTGGCTATTGCAAGGAGGGGGAGAACATGTCTCTTGTCTATGAGTGCATGTCTAAAGGAGCCCTAGACAAGCATCTTAGAGGTATGCAAATCACTCAAATAATTCAGACTTATCCTTCGGCAACATAAATATGTTAGTTGTAAAAGTGAGAACATGTAGCAAAAATTCCAGTACATGTGATTCACCTCACAATTTTTGCATCGTAGGGATAGACAACAACACAAGAACTTTAACCTGGAGACAGAGACTTCTTATCGCCATGGAATCCGCTCAAGGTAAGGTTTAAATCAAGTTTCTCTACACGTCTTTACAAATAGAAGCAATTATTCCAAATGTGGTGGCGTTGAGAGCGTGTGATGTCGATGTGTAGGGATTGAGTATTTGCACAAGGGTGCAATCCGCCCCTCATTCACAGGGACGTGAAGACGTTCAACATTCTGCTGAATACAAGGTTGGAGGCCAAGATCACCGATTTTGGCCTGCTTAAGGCTTTCAATAACGATGGTGACACACATGCGTCCACAGCCAGGGTGGTTGGAACACATGGCTACCTTGACCCTGAGTAAGTGCATTGTTCTAAATTCTTGTTGATTATGCTTTGAAAACCATTTTCTTGATTATTAATATTTCTTTTTAGTAAAGCGGACTACCTAGGCCTCTGCATCACATGAGACACCCAGGCACATCCAATCTTGCCGATTATTAATAGCTGAAGTAATATACTTTGGTTGTCTCAAAAGTAGTATGACTCACCTATATGCTCATAATGTATACTCTGCCTTTCCTCCTAGGGTGATCAAATTCATAACATGCTCCCTTAAAATTGACAATTGACCTACCAGTGAGTGATTCAAACCTAAGGATACAAACCTTTGATTTATGCGAGAATCATATTGTTTTTTTGTGAATTTTCTGCTAATTCTTGTAAGATTTGCTGAATATAAGATGTCCCAAAAAACCCATTTTACATGATTGTCTTTGAAACTGGACCCACTGATACATTTCATACTCACAGGTACCACGCTATGCTTCAGTTGACCAACAAGAGTGACGTGTTTA